TAGCAAAGGCACTGTAAGTCCCCATAGTCCCTAGTATGGTGATCTACCTTCAGTTGTTGGCGATTACTAGCCCATTATTACGTTGTATTGTCCAAAATAGTTTTCTACTTTTAAAGATATATACTAGCTAGTTTTAACTCATTTTGTGATAATCTAGTAATTTTACTGTCCTTCGTTGACAGGGTTTTATATATTATATGAATTTAGAACTAGTTTTAGTCACGGTATGGCTGAAATATTGCCGATGTGACTTTAAATTTTAACTCACTCACTCACTCTTCTTGTAACTTCCTGCAGATCTATATCACAGGATGCGAGGCAAGAGTTAGCTCCTCTAGTAAACATTTACCTACGAAACAGACTCCAGAAGATTCCCAAACTCCCTGGGTCAGACTATATTGTTAAGGTCCATTGGGTTGTAGTATTGTGTAGTACACACAATGTACCTTCTACAGTATCCTGTAGTACCTTCTATCATGGCCCACACAGGGTGTGTGTTGTTTCTGAGTACCTCCAACAGGAGATCTTACTACCTTATCATGGACAGCACGTGCCTTAAAACAATCTAGAATGGGATGGAATGATCAGACTAACATTGGACTAGGAGTGTGCCACGTCGAATCCGGGATTGTCTTTAAGAGCATCATGCGATATTAATGGGTTTCGCTTTTCATGGTAAATGACGTAATAGACAGTGGGGGGGCTTTGGCCGGTCCTCTAACAAAAGACATGATCATCTATCGCTCAACGACTAATGAAGACCTCAGTCAGATGTCCCTGGTATATTGTTGAACTAATGTATCTCATTACAGGTATAACATATCAATAATTGGGACACCTTTCTCTTGATGACCACTAGTTTAAATAGTATAGAAGTGACTGACAATCTCATCATTTCATCAAACACAAAAGAGTGAGTGAGTGAGTGAGTTTATTTTACGCCACTTTTAGCAATATTCCAGCAATAATACGGCGGGGGTCACCAGAAATGGGCTTCGCACAGTGTACCCAAAACACAAAAGAAACAATGCAGCAGGCGGCCATATTCTATACATCGTCCTGTCTTTTTTCTCAGTATCATTAAAATACATCATTGTACAAGACCAGTGTCAGTTTTCTCCACCGATGAGGTATTCAGACCTTTCTGGAGGACGATGGTCTATCTGGAACAGTGAGTTCAGTCGAACTGGAGCACCAGTCGATGACCTATAAATAGCATGCTGCTTACACAAGCTGTCCCATGGAAACTGGATTGTTTGCTGGGCAAAGTCGAACTTCACGGATTAACCTGCTTCTGGAAATGTGTGCGGATCAGTAATACAAAAAGCCGTGCATAATTAATACATATACGTTGTGTAGACAGATAGCAATATTTCAGTAAATTTTTAAATCCAACGTTCGTGATTTATGCTTCAACAAACGAAACACATCGATGATTTTGACTTGCATATAAATGGAAGGACAGACGTTATTCGACTTTATCTGGAAATGAATATTGTGACACTTGTTTAAATCATAAATTGCTTGGAATCATCCTGTAACCACGCAACCAAGACATAATGTGGGACCCAGGTCAGGTCCAGCTCAAATACAGGATATCTTCGAGTTACAATATCAGAGGCAACAGTGTACAACATCATCCTTCACATCAGCAGTGACGACAGTGGGACCACACCTTTGTCCCATAGATGTCTGTCAGAGATGTTGTTTTGACGCAACAACGTGGGCTGCTACGTCATTTCCAGCCTGATATGCTGCAGCGGAGCTGATGGGAGAACCATGTTGTACCTATGTGTAGAAACCTTGGAGTCAACTTTGTGTGCAGACTCTTTCAGTGTTGTCACAACCCCTAGAGTACAGTACACAACCCTGTGCACTTAAAAGAACCCACGAATCCGTTGGTATATGACCAGATTGTAGCCACATGAATACGTGCAAACACCTAGTTGCGGGTACAGCAACGTGCAGTGAGCATGGACAAAGTACTGTGACTATGTGTCCCAGTCCACCCAGCTGTGAATGGGTACATCGTTAGGATGTGAAAGCCACAATAACTCGGTGCGCCTAGTGTCCCCAGGGAGTTGAGATTGATAATGCAATGTGCCGTTGAGATTGACATCTAATGATCGAGGTAAAAACTACCAGCGCCTTAAGCATGCACTAGCTGCGTGGATTTGTGCACTATATAAATATCCTATAACAATAATAAAAACACGTCACTCGGGCACTTTTCCACCGAACTCATTTTGTAGTGCCAATAACTATGGTCGTATGACGTTAACAAGAGCTGCCACTTTGAAGATTCTGACTTTTGAAATCACGACGTGACCTAACATTGTATCACGTGCAGTATACAGTTTGGCACGCGCAGTGTGGTCATGTGCCAAGTCACACATAGCCACCCCCTCTCCCCTTGGCAAACACCTCATAGAGTGATGTAACGGGGTCACAGGTCATACGTGCACTTGTCAGCTGTTTGGACGGTGACCTGGCGATGGGTGCAGGAGGCAAGACTGCAGCTGTAGACGCATGTGGGTTGTGGACGAAGTACCACATGGTCTCCTGGTTACATCCCCGTGAACCAGCGCGATCAGGCAGTTAGAAACTGGGAACTGAGCACTAAGTTCCTTGTAAACACCTCACAATAAAACGTTGTGGACTTGTGTTGTCAAACCTAGAACTTCCAACATCTACAACAACGTTACCGACAATGACAACCCCTACTGCAGAATCCGTATATTGGGGGCTATATTGACGTCGTTAGTTTGCTGATGTTTTCTGAACAATCAGTGGATATTCGATGGATGATAACCAACATCTCTTCCAATTAATAACATGCCACAATTACGCATACCAATAATTAGCTATCTTTGAGCAGTTGTCACTTGTGTAACATACTTGCTTATTAACAACTATTAAAATATAAGATTTTCCAAGTTATCAAGCAGAAAAAGTTTACTGAAACTTGATATTTGCTTAATGCTGGGTACATGTATTGCACGTGATACTCATCTTTGATCGTAACACGTGCATATCTAAAATCTAGTCTAGTCATTTGTTCACCTGAAATAATTCGGTATAGGTGAAAATAGGGAATTGCATCGGACATCATTTTTGTCACTGATGCATCAAATTTTGACATTTCCTTCACATGTCTACCATAACTCTTCTTGAAAGCTTTACTGAGGCCTTGAATGTTGTAACCTTGATCAAAGAACTTCTGAGCAAGATTGGTACGACGCTCTTTGAAATCTTGGTAACAAGAACACGCTCGATTGTATCTCAAACGTTGTGAACACCAAAGGCTGGATAAGTTGGAATATTGCTCGACATGGAAGGGATGTTGACTATTGGAAAGTAGACTACTGGAGAGTTTTTTGTCACTCTGAATCTTTATGCGTTGATCTGAATATAAAACGGTTGAGACGGCCTCAGTTGCTTCCTTAATTTCAAGCTCAGGTGGGTAAATCAATGGAAGGCAATTGGCTTTTCGATGGTTATTGAACGATATTAGATCATCGAAAGTCTTTACACATCACGGGTGTTGCGATAATATTTTTCATGTGTATACATGCAGATGTAGAAAACGTTGGAATACGTAAAACAGAAATATGACAGAGCTGTCTGTATTCGTAGATATGTCACGTGCACAGACCATGCCAAATGGGTAAACTAACAATACCAAAAGTCATAATCGGGTTGAGTATGGGATTTGAACCCGTAATATCGGATCCTGTGTGACGGGTTATTGACATGAATCCTCTAGGATGTTCACTCCAACCTTATCCCTCGAATCTGACCCGTGACTTCGAAGTATTTTTCCATCTCAAGAAATGTGGATGTATTTGTCAACAGAACTCAACAAGCGTCTTGTATGCCTAGCAACCTTAGCTGACATGTCAACACGGGTAGTATTGTGTTACAGCTTCCACACAAGGGGTCAGGGACATACAGCCATGACCGAGATCTGGAGACGGGCGGGGCTGACGCCATGAACTACCCTACTTCTGTGTGTGCTAAAACTGTTTATTTGTAAAGTAGCCAGGTCAACACTTATGCAACCAGATATTTGCAAATGCATGTCTCATGTCCATAAATAGTAACCGCACTGCCAATAAGCAACACTGTCTGAGTCGAGACCTTAATGTAACCCTACGATGCCAAGCACAAGGCAAGGTTAGAACACATTACATAGTGAAGTCTTTCGGTTTGACACAACCGCAGATTAAAACACCAACCCTCTGCGCTCTAACCATTTCACCAAAACATACACAGCTTGCATATATAATGAGACGCCTCTCTCCAAATGGTATCTATATATAGAACGTCATACTAGTGCATTTGGATGTTTTGTATTGAACGAGAAGATGTCAACGAGTTCGAAGATGTTCCTCTGCTCCCATGACATCTTCTTGTTTATCTTGTACATCTTCATCTTCTATATTTATGATATACCCTCTTATCTTGCATTAATCTGTTACTTAATATAATAAGAAAGTAAAACCGGCAGGGGTTCAATACGGAATCTGTGGTGCAATACGGAATTTGACCTCGTCATCCGTGTTGCACTCATGTATTACTATCCTATGCTTACACGGGTATATAATAAAATATTATACTATACTTGATTTACGTTTTTGTATTTACCAATCGAACCGTGAAACCACCAAACGGGGCATGAATGCTTCAGATGGTAAGGTGCTCAAGGAGCTCTGAGTTCCGTTCCTTTACTGTACAAGGGTCTTATGCTCATGGGTTCCAGTACAAATTTTCCGTGGTCTGTCCAAACATTCCCGTGCTTGTTGGTCTCACCAACGTGATATTAAACCTCAAAGCTCTGCGTCGTCTTGCACGTATTACTCACACGCCATACCTCGCCAGCCCCTTCTCACTGCAACCTTATTCTTACAGTAAACATATCCCCCGCCCTTTGGACTCGCCCCCTTCGCCTGTGGCTACCCGTGCACCCTACGTCACGATCTGGGAGTCTGCCAGTACCCGTGAATAAACCTTTATCAGGACAGTCTCAGCTAGCAGGACATCAGACATGGCGGGGTTTGTGACGGCAGCTGCTGTCTTCATCTGTGTGGCGACATCTGTCTTGGCACAGAGCGGCGACACAGCACAAAAGTAAGTTAAAACCTTCTTAATGCGGACATCGTTAATCTGGAAAACCTTATTAACACTCCTGTTGGAATATCAGAACAAATAACATTACTTCAAACAGACAATGATGCTTCAGACTGTTAGAAATGTGTGACTGCCTACAACTAAGGACACATTGTTTGTTTTCCAAAAACTGCTATTTAAGCTCACACTTTTAATAGCAAATAGTCGAACTGCCTGTCATTGATTCGTAAATTCGGGCGAATTCATTCAGTAATATACCGCACTAATGAGTTTCCGTCGTATCTAAAGTAGCGATGTGTCATTAAACTAACATTAAACATTTTACATTAACAGAATCTCCGTTTAATTTAAACTAACATTCATTGTTTAAATTTCATTTGCGTTGTTAAGTTATCTGTTACAAGAATCCTTTGCTAGGATAATCGATACTGGTATTTCGTTTCGTATTATGTTTCCCATAACGTTTCGTAACATGTCAATGTTTCCCACAACGTTTCGTAACATGGCAAGGTTTCCTATAACGTTTCGTAGCATGGCAATGTTTCCCATAACGTTTCGTAACATGGCAATGTTTCCCATAACGTTTCGTAACATGGCAATGTTTCCCATAACGTTTCGTAACATGGCAATGTTTCCCATAACAACATTCAAATGCGTTAAGGATCCGTCATCACACTGGTCCTTCTTTAAGAGAGCGTTTGGTGCCTTTTCAGTCAAGTTTTTTTCCAAGGCCTCCAGTCAAAAGTACATGTTTTCCATAAATACGCATTCGAATTTGAAAATATATAGTCAGATAAATATACATATCTCCAGGGCCGGCTTGACACACAGTTCACCAATATCCACATCAGTGATTTACGTACACTTATAATACACACATATACACATCTGAACCGCGACCAAGATTGGCCTTCGATTTCCAGCATGCGTGGCGCACATTTCTGATTTCTTTGCCACGACATTGTTGGAATCCCGCGGCGTCGTGAAATAATCACCCTGACGCCAAGATGGTTCTCGGGAGGAACAGGACCACATATGCCTTGATAAATGTATCTCAGCCATTGGTGTGTTGAATCAGGTTTGACATGGAGTTAGTTTCACCATTGTATAGATACATGGAATATATGACAGGGCACATTAACTGTATTAACAATATGACAGTATCGGGTGTTCTTCGATATCTTTGTAACAGAATATTTATTACCTTTTTGAATTCACTGTATCATAAGAGACAACATTAATACTCCCAAACTGAGCTAATGGAAAAGTGTTTAAAGTTGCATCAAACCCAACCCGCTCACCAACTCACTCACTCACTCTGTTCTTCAGTGACTGCCCATACGTCTGCCAGATGAAGGAGGGGTATACCGAGGGATGTGGTTGGATGAACTGGTCCAGATGCTCCAAGTATAGGTAACTATAACTGAAAGGGACATACCCATGGAACCATGTAGCACAAACTGTATGACATGTTCATACCATGTAGCAGATACCGTATGACATGTAATACAATGTAGCAGATAATGTATGACATGTAATACCTTGTAGCAGATAATGTATGACATGTAATACCATGTAGCAGATATCGTATGACATGTAATACCATGTAGCAGATATCGTATGACATGTAATACCATGTAGCAGATAATGTATGACATGTAATACCATGTAGCAGATATCGTATGACATGTAATACTTTGTTGCAGATAATGTATGACATGTAATACCATGTAGCAGATAATGTATGACATGTAATACCATGTAGCAGATATCGTATGACATGTAATACCTTGTAGCAGATAATGTATGACATGTAATACCATGTAGCAGATATCGTATGACATGTTATACCTTGTAGCAAATAATGTATGACATGTAATACCATGTAGCAGATATCGTATGACATGTAATACCTTGTAGCAAATAATGTATGACATGTTCATAGAAGGTAAAAGGTACTTTACACCAATACCATATGTATTGAACATATATTACGTTTACAAGACACCCATCAGTAGGTATACACTCTTTAAAAAAGAAACGCATAAGCCATGTTAGAAGAATTTATTGCGTTAGTTAAAGAGCAAGTATTTCATGTACTTTCAATGGTAAAAAGGTCTATAAACAAAGAATTCGCCAACACAACAGCAGTCTTTATTGTTTTGTTTCTGTTTACTTGAGTCCACAAGATGGCGTCAAAGTTAGTACTGTGTACCACCATTGGCAGCAATTACTGCTCGGCACCGTCTCGGCACCGTCTCGGCACAGACGATAAGTCTTGCGGAATTCTTCCCCACTCTTCCTGCAATGCGATGACCAGTTGTGGTAGTGTCTGATGCGTGTTTTGGCGTTCACCCGATAGCTGTTCTATCGGGTTTAGATCTGGTGATTGGGAAGGCCATGGCAAGACGTTGACGTTAGAATTGGCGAGGTAGCGAACCGTGACGCGTGCTGTATGTGAAGTAGAGTTGTCATGCTGGAACAACACCCTCTGTCGGTCCGTAATCGGAAGCATTTGACATGTAAGGACTTCGTTGATGTACCGATTTGCTGTCAAATTCCCCTGAACCACCACTAAATGAGATTTACGTGCGCTGGATATCGCAACCCACACCATGACCCTGTCCCCACCGAATCGGACGACCTGTCGAATGCAATTAGGGCAAAACGTTCATTTCTCCGACGGTAAGCACGCTGTCTTTCATCTCGCCGGAGAAGAAGAAGAAATCGAGATTCATCACTAAACCAGACTCGCCTCCAGTTTCTAAGGTTCCAGTTCCGGATTCTACGACCCCACCGCAAGCGATTGCGCCGATGGAAGTCTCTCAAAGCAGGCCTCCTAGGTTGAATCCCCCACTTCAAGCAATCGATTCCTGACAGTTTGGTCGGAAATTCTTCCCAAACCAGGGATGCGTTGTGTAGTAGACGATGACGCAAGTGAGCAGCCCGGAATGTAGCCGTCCTGGGCCTGGCTGGTTGAAATGTCGGGCAACTGCAGACTGCGACTCCCCAGCTTTAAGGCGGCCTATGGAGATATATCGATTGACGGCACTCACTCGTGGTATGATGATTTCCTCTTTTCCAGGCAAACCGAATAACAGAATTAAACACAACGTTTGCTTTTTCATAGTGATTGATATCGCCTGCGTTTCCGCTTACTTGCACGTGCATTTTGCTTTGCATGTATTCTTCAAACGCTTCTGAAATATGGGGAAAAGTTAAAATTGGCGCTGAAGATGTTTACAATCACACAAAGATGACGTTTTGGACAGAAATAGTATACAATGCATTTGAATTGTTCTTGCCGCAGCTACATGAGTCCAATATTCTCAGAATTACGTATGCGTTTCTTTTTGTGAAGAGTGTATCATAATATTTACATTCCATGAAGCAAACAGTGTATGACAACCAATAGTCGTTCTGTATACTGTATGATTTGTACCCACCCTGTAGCAGACAGTGTATAACATGGATTTTACACACAGCTTGTTCTCAGTAAGAGCACTACAATATTACTGCAGCCGGATTTCATAAAATTCCAGGATGAAGACGGACATCTGCCACAAGCCTTGCGCGTCGACGACAACGCCGACAGCAACAACTACAACACCGCAGTGCACCCAGTTCCCTTGTCTCATGTTCGAGGACAACTTTAATACACTCGACTTTAAAGTGTGGGAGCACGAGCTCACGGCTGGAGGTGGCGGGGTAGGTCGAATATCTGAGTTCCAATATTTTAACTTTAACTGTTTCACGGGCGACCTGTGCTGGTGGCACGTAGACCCTGTATCTCGCTTTATAGGAATGTGTTCCCCTGCTCTCGTTTAAAATCAGGCTTAAGTGCTCCCTGTCACTTCCCATAGATCTGTTGGCATGCCCGTGGTTGTCACATTAAAGTGATCATATACCCGACCAATCAGTTTTGAGAACGTGAAAGTCCGTGAAAGTTTTATTTTTCAATCATGCTACTTGCAAAACGTTAGTTCTTAAATTGATTGTATCGTTTCAACTGGAAATACATTTGAAATGGATAGCCATTGATAATTTTTGTCATACAATACCGGTTATTAGACATTTCAAAATATCCATAGAGTAAATATTTTCCGAAGTGTAGTCCTGAACGGAAGTCCAATATTTAGAGCAATTGCTGGGAAGGTCGAGGTAGCTGCATTCTGATTGGATACTGTTGACTTCTTGTAAGTCGCTTCATTGGATGGTCAAAGTTTCGCGAAATGACGTTCTCACGTAACCTATAAAGTTATGTCGCCCGATCTTTGTGAAGCGGTCGGCCTCTTGTTTATGAGATTGTAGCCACGCCAGGATCTGCTGAACGGGGTTTCGAATTATCTGGTCCTCCGATTATGTACCCTGGTTTAAATTTGACAGCACCGTAGCCTCTCTTCAAAGCGGCATTGAAACCCAGCACGTCTACTGTAGGCCTAAAGGGTTAATTATATTTTTCTCGTTTTTCAGAATTGGGAGTTTCAGTTCTATACCAATAACCGCACAAACAGCTACGTCCGTGACGGCGTCCTTTACATAAAACCCGTAAGTCGACGACACGTAGATTCTCTTCAGTAATGTTCCGTGGGTGATGGGGAGATTTGAGGTAGTATATTTTGGGGCAACTTTTTTACTTATTTATTATGACATAAAATGTTTTCTCTGAATCGTGGAGACACACAATTTAATATCAACGATTCATCTGATCTGGACATCCAGTTAAAAGATTTTCTAAAACTTGGGGTAATATTTCTCCCACAATGTTCCTGAGTGTTACATAGAATGTGTTGTGTTCGTTGCAGACATTGACGGCGGATCAGTTTGGGGAGGCCTTCCTCACATCCGGGAAACTTGAACTGTGGGGTAACTGTCTGTTTAACTAATCTTGCATATTTGTAAGTTTGTGGTTGAACACCGTCCTCGGGAACATATGGATTTTGAACTGGACAAACCAGTAGTTGAAAGAAACAAGCAGCTAAACCTGGCAGTGAGTGAGTGAGTGGGTTGTTGAGTGAGTGAGTGAGTAGGTGGGTAGTTGAGTGAGTGAGTGAGTCATACACTTTGGGAGAAAAGCTCGAGGTTAATTTTGTCCGGGATTCGAATAAATGACTACAAATATCGGGCGAGCCCAAGAATTCTGCAGCACGATTTCCGGCACCGCAGACGACTGGGTCCATCCATACCCCGTGCTGCTGAGAGTACACAATCCGGTGAATCAATGTTTCCCGGATTGGGACATCAGAAATAGCCTGTACACATTCTAACCATTTAGAGATTCGAACACATGTTTAGGCAAACGATTCAGCCGTTTCTGCGTGTAAACAAACCATGAGGTGATAAGAACAATGCTACAATCAGAGTAACGCTCATTCCAGGCGGTGGCCCTCACGACACCTGCACCGGCAACGCCTTCTACGGCTGTGAACGTGTCGGCAACGATGTTTACATCATCAACCCCATTCAGTCCGCCCGACTCAGGAGTTCCAAGGGTCTAAACTTCAGATATGGCAAGGTGGAAATTAGGGCTCAGCTCCCCAAGGGAGACTGGTTGTGGCCAGGTAAGTAACATACCTACAATACACTGTTGATTGTACAGTCCGTTTGGCTTAAAACGGACCCATGAATTGCAATCTAACTCGAAAAATAATAAACAGATAATACTTAATGAAACGCTGATCATAATCAAAACATCAGACCAACAATGTGATTTATTTGCAGAATTTATGTCCTAAAAATAAAAAAGTTGTTTAACAAACTATTATTAAAATTTTGACACAGTTCACTATTTGTTACGAGGAAGGAGTGCAAAGAAAGGGACAGCCAGGTGTGCGAGAAAGGATGGAGACGGCACAGCACAGGTTAATTAATCAATAACTTTGTCGGCACTTGTGCACGTGCTTCTCGAACACCTGGCTGTCCCTTTCTCTGCATTCCTCCCTCGTAACACATAGTGAACTGTGTCAAAATTTTAATGATAGTTTGTTAAACAACTTTTTTGGTGGAGTCCGGAAAATTTTCATATATAAGAAAGCTGTTGGGTATTAGTAAATGATAAACATGTGTACTATTTATATTTCTGTGGCAATTTTGTACAATGATCAAATTTGCAATTCATCAGTCCGTTTCTGACTCAAACGGACTGTACACTGCTGGTCAAAGTAAACGTTACCTCTGACGCAACAGCAACACGCATAAAATGTAGTTGGGCGTGCACTTCTGCTCATGATTTTCCAATAAATTCATTCTCCTGCCTTTGTGTGGGGAACTGGTTTTGATCAACTGAGTTCCTTAGATCCTTCATTTACCTGATATTTGTATTAAATTACCGGCTCAACGGTTCACTCCCAAAAGACAGATCTACCCAAAGACAGACCACCCATAAGACAGACTCAATGAGGACACTAATTAGCCGAGCCATGCTGTCCACCCCTGTCATATGATGTGATGTAAAATAATATGGTGCTTGGTCTCGTATGTTTGATAGGTACATGTATATAAATTATTGTTTTTGATAATATTCACAAGTAAATGTGATCTGGCGAATATATGTTGATGTGCATATATGTTGATGCAATATGTCCTAATTCAAAAATCAGAACTCATTACATGAATTGCTAAAACTACAGTTATTATCTAATGTTGTCTTTTTTTATCTGGGCACTTACCATTATTATCAAGGGTACAGCTTAATTAAGCCTTATGCAACCAACCATAAAATGTGTTGCTTTAAGGGTCTGTCTTTTGGGAGGTCTGTCTTATGGGAAGATAGCGGCTCAACATCGTGGACCATCTTCACCCTGCTTATAACAATAAAACAACTTCCATGTACTGAGTAATACTATAGTGCGTTTGGCTCAAAAGCGGACCGATGAATTGCAATCTAACTCGAAAACTAAGAAACATATAACACTCAATGAAACGCTGATCATAATCAAAACATCAGACCAACTCTGTGATTTGTTTGCAGAATTTATGTCCTAAAATTGAAAAAGTTGTTTAACAAACTATCACTAAAATATTGACACAGTTCACTATTTTGCACGAGGGAGGAGTGCAGAGAAAGGGACAGCCAGGTGTGCGAGAAAGGATGGAGAGGGCACAGGACAGGTTAAGGAATTATTAACTTTGTCGGCACTTGTGCACTTGCTTCTATAACACCTGGCTGTCCCTTTCTCTGCACTCATCCCTCGTAACAAATAGTGAACTGTGTGATTTGGTGATTTGATTGTGTGGGTTTTGCTGACCCAAATCTTTCTGAAACATAATAACCTACTACGAAATGAAAACATAATGAAATAATTTATCATTTCTTCCTTCTACACTATGATGTCGACATACCTGATATTCTCCTGTTTCAGCCATATGGATGCTGCCCACCTACACGGAGTATGGCCGATGGCCGGCGTCCGGCGAGATTGACATCATGGAGAGCAGAGGCAAATATCACCATACTGAATTCAATACTTTCTGCCACACCACCAACCTAACTTTTTTTTAAAATAAGGAAAAAAAACAACAATAAAGGAAATATGAAACAAGAAAAAAAAATACAACAAAGTATACTTATTTAATGTAGTGTTGGTCGTAAATTGGCTGTGAAGTGAATACATTGCGATCGGTTTCATTACATTGAGAGCTCACATCTTAAATGTCTCTATAGGCCTACACGCTGAAATGTTAGTGTGTATTAATGGACTTCTGAAATAAACGGCCAGGTAGGCATAGCCATATTTGTTCCTACACGCTGTGTCAAGGGGATGTTGTTCCAGTCCCCTCCAGGTGCCCCTAGTCGTGATAACGCCGAACAAACCCCACAACAATACTCACGGCCATCTATATAGGGGTCATTACGGGCTGCTCTTGCATTTTAAAAACAAATACTGACAAATTAAATTATGAAATCTCCGCACCCAAATGGACAAGGATGTTTAATTTTTCATCTGCACAGGTAACCGACAGTACTACGACGCCAATGGTCGTTCTGTTGGTGTTGACTCCTACGGCAGTACACTCCACTTCGGACACGACTACTTCAACAACGGCTGGTCACGTGCCCACCAGTCTTGGTAGGTTCTGCTAGTTTACTATCTGAAGTGCTAAACAGGTACCTGGGGGGTAAGACGGATAATCATATTTTCTCCATGAATTCTAAAGGACAATACCCGATAAGCCAATGACATTGTATAAATTATTTTGATTTTGTCGTACTGGTCGGTACGACTGATGACGCTGTTGCGATACAGTGCTGTGTCGAATATTTGTGAATGTGAACTATCACCTGATGTTATTGCCTTCACTGACTATGCAGTAACTGTTACATGTATAGCTCATCGCCAGAGTGCCGCCTGACGCGCAATATCTTAAGACAGCCAGTCTGCGATTACGTTGACAATCCGTTTTTGTTTGCAGGGTCAAAGAGACCGGAACTTACGGAGATGAGTTCCATACGTACGGAGTCATATGGGATGAAGACGCCATAACGTACGTAACGTTTAGATTTCCGTGCATGTAGATGACGCTAGCCATAAAAATTGTGAGGTCAATCGACGTCATCTGGAATGGGCCAGGTTGTATTGGATTGCGTTCAACGTTGTTTTTATCTGCCCAATGTGTGATGTTGTGTTTTATACTACACCGTGTTGGGTTATATACTACACCATGTTGGGTTATATGCTACACCATGTTGGGTTATATACTACATCATGTTGGGTTATATACAACACCATGTTGGGTTATATACTACACCATGTTGGGTTATATACTACACCATGTTGGGCTATATGCTACACCATGTTGGGTTATATACTACACCATGTTGGGTTATATACTACACCATGTTGTGTTATATGCTACACCATGCTGGGTTATATACTACATCATGTTGGTTATATACTACACCATGTTATATACTACACCATGTTGGGTTATATACTACACCATGTTGGGTTATATACTACATCATGTTGGGTTATATACTACACCATGTTGGGTTATATACTACACCATGTTGGGTTATATACTACACCATGTTGGGTTATATACTACACCATGTTGGGTTATATACTACACCATGTTGGGTTATATGCTACACCATGTTTGGTTATATACTACACCATGTTGGGTTATATACTACATCATGTTGGGTTATATACTACACCATGTTGGGTTATATACTACATCATGTTGGGTTATATACTACACCATGTTGGGTTATATACTACACCACGTTGGGTTATATACTACACCATGTTTGGCTATATGCTACACCATGTTGGGTTATATACTACACCATGTTGGGCTATATGCTACACCATGTTGGGTTATATACTACACCACGTTGGGTTAGATACTACACCATGTTGGGTTATATACTACATCATGTTGGGTTATATACTACACCATGTTGGGTTATATACTACACCATGTTGGGTTATATACTACACCATGTTGGGTTATATACTACATCATGTTGGGTTATATACTACATCATGTTGGGTTATATACTACACCATGTTGGGTTATATACTACACCATGTTGGGTTATATACTACACCATGTTGGGTTATATACTACACCACGTTGGGTTAGATACTACACCATGTTTGGCTATATGCTACACCATGTTGGGTTATATACTACACCATGTTGGGTTATATACTACACCATGTTGGGTTATATACTACACCATGTTGGGTTATATACTACACCATGTTGGGTTATATGTTATATACTACACCATGTTGGGTTATATACTACACCATGTTTGTTATATACTACACCATGATGTTGGGTTATATACTACACCATGTTTGGTTATATACTACACCATGTTGGGTTATATACTACACCATGTTGGGTTATATACTACACCATGTTGGGTTATATGCTACACCATGTTTGGTTATATACTACACCATGTTGGGTTATATACTACACCATGTTGGGTTATATACTACACCATGTTGGGTTATATACTACACCATGTTGGGTTATACACTACACCATGTTGGGTTATATACTACACCATGTTGGGTTATATGCTACACCATGTTGGGTTATATGCTACACCATGTTGGGTTATATACTACATCATGTTGGGTTATATACTACACCATGTTGGGTTATATGCTGTGCCATGTTAGGTTATATACTACACCATGTTGGGTTATATACTATACCATGTTGGGTTATATACTACACCATGTTGGGTTATATGCTGTACCATGTTAGGTTATATACTACACCATGCTGGGTTATATACTATACCATGTTGGGTTATATGCTACACCATGTTGTGCTATATACTACACCATGTTGGGTTATATACTACACCATGTTGGGTTATATACTACACCATGTTGGCTTATACGCTGGAGAGTGTACAACTACAATGGTCATTTGACAGACGGTAATATGACGTGTCGAACCCTGGATATATCGAATATATTTTCCTGTCCCGAGGAGTTGGGATTAACATTGCGGTTAGACAGAATACATCATCAAGTGTTGGAGGAACATATGTATAACAGCGTTACGTCTTATGTATTCAAGCCTTTCAAAAACATCTGATAATTTATGATGCCCCATCATATTTCAGCTTCACGTTTGACGGGAGAGAGACGCTGCGTGTGGACCCTGGCGAGGGCGGCTTCTGGGGGTTCGGGGAATTCAACCAGACGGTCTTCGAAAACCCATGGAGAAGCGCCCCTAAGATCGCTCCTTTCGACAAGGAGGTAAGAAAAAATAGACATTTACGTTCACAAATAATGTTTCTTAACCTTTATGAAATGACATTCAATTAAGATAAACATGTTTACTTGAGCTATTGTAAACCAGTTCTACTACCCTGGACTAAACGCTAACGTCTATCGTCAATGTATCTTAACAACACACTTTCATGTCCGCCAGGGGACGGTGGGGTAGTCTAGTGGTTAAGGTGTTCACTCATCACGCCGAAGACCCGGGTTCGATTTCCCACATGGATGCATTGTGTAAACCCCATTTCTGGTGTCTCCACCGTGACATTGCTGGAATATTGCTTAAAGCGGCGTAAAACCATACACACTCATCTCAGCCAGATAAATGCGGATTGGTGATCTACCACTCAACCGCTTATTTGAAGAGTTGCGTCCCTTTCATAACGTGTCACTATTTTACGTTACTCGATGTCACACTTTAGAAATCATGTGAAAAGTATCACATAAATTCTACATACTATATACTAGAACTGGCGCAAAACTAGCTTAAATATTTTACCTCAATCTTTTGGCAGTGACTCGTTCATACTGTGAAATTATGTAGATATTACCAGTCAGCACCAGTGTTGACTGGGATTTCATTGGGTTTTGACTTCCACATCTTAACTGACATTACCTCAGCCCTACAACACTGCACCCATTCGTGATGTTAAGTGACCCTGTGCAGCACATTGTACAATTGTCTGTTTTAGTTCTACATTGTCTTGAACGTCGCTGTCGGCGGTTTCAACTACTTCAACGACTACAACAACACCGCCTACCCAAAGCCATGGACGGATGCGGTTGCTAAACAGTTCTGGCAGGCCAAGGATCTGTGGTACCCCACATGGAACCCCGACGTGAGGGGAGGGGAGGACGCCGCCCTTAAGATAGACTCTGTTAAAGTCTGGAAACTAAAATAAAATCCAACTGGAAAACAGACACTGTTCGAAACGAAAGCATGTGTCGTTATTATTTGAAGACCACATATACTCGCTAAAAACTCTCACGTCGAATTACTGTAACACGGTCAACATCTAAAATTGCGTGTCACTATCTCAAATAAATAAATATTCAACGCAAGAACCGGTATGGGTGTTTTATGTTTCGTTTTGTTGTCTTATGTTATGAATGCGGGCGAAAATATTGACCTTATATGTATAGTGACGTGCATACACTAAACGCCAAAAGAAACGTTACCCTCCTCCCTCAATGACTGAGGTACCCATCTTCAGCTGGCGTTGTGATGCGTGGACGTCCACTTCTTGGTCTGTCTACGGTGACCCCAGTCTGTCTGTAGCGCTGTAGTCTTATAACCGTGATACGGTGGCATCCGAGGGCGTTGGCAACAGCATTGTATGTCGACTCCATCTGCACCATCCCAATGACTCTTTCTCTCTCTTCAGCTGATAATCGTGACATATTTCTCGTACTTGTGTATCATATCATGCATTCTAGTCTTTCTTTATACCCCCATTGTACAGGTGAATTTGATGCAAATACTGCTTGAATATTGTTACGTTTTGGGAACTGATATTGCTATGTATTTTAAAAGACTGAAATCATAGGAATGATTCTTTTACAATTTTACACACTCTACAACAGTTGTTTCTTGTTTTAATAGTTGAAAAATGATGAGTTCAATGTTTTATCTTTGTCTCAAAGCAAAATTGTTTTTCAACCTTTCTTTTGGACATCTAAATCAGTGTTATTGGTTTATTTCGGCATGTTCGAAAATAGGACAATTTAACTCTTCTGAAAAAAATGCATTTCACCTAAATATGAATGCGTTTGAGAATTTGTTTTCGTGATTTGCATAAAGCTGTGTTATTAAGCTTCCTTGTAACCTAATACGTTCTAACATATCTATTAGAGTTATTAAGTAATTCATAAAGTTTGTAGGGTAACGGTTTTTTGTCGTTTAGTGTATGTACAGCTGGTTTTACCATTGTCGCCATTAAGGCGAATCTGGAATTCGAACTAACGACCTAGCATCCTAGCATGACAGCAGGACGAAACTCCACGTCTTGACAGCGGCTTAGGCGACGGTGCCACCCTCGTCCCCGCTTGGGGGCTACTAAATGTGTAACTTGTAGCATCAACTAGTCATAAATGTTAAAGGTTTTGTAAACCTTTCCTACACAGGTGAGGATACCTAGAAATAGAAACGATGGCTTTCACGTCATCAACTATCTTTGAACAACAAACTTCATTTATTCAGTATAGTGAAGAGTGAGTATGGTTTTACGCCGCTTTTAGCAATATTCCAGCAGTAGCATTGCGGGGAACATCAGAAATGGGCTTCACACATGTGGTGAATCGAACCCGGGTCTTCGGTGTGACAAGCGAACGCTTTAATCGCCACCCCATTTATTCAGCATATACATCCCCACTATCAAACACGGCTAAGATTAGACAACAGTTATTTACAAACAACATGACATTCAAGTTCATGACCTCTCAGATATGCTTTGATGTTTCATTATTTCGGACTGAAAGATTGTGTTTCTTGCTTAACGTCGCACTCAGCAGTATTCCAGCTATACGACGCCGCGGTCTGGGACATGTCTGTGACTGACATCATAACCATGGATTAAGCAGTTGGAAACTTACCTGACCACCCTATCTCGTCAGATGGCTCTTACGACAAGGATGACATGCTGAAGACCAACTTAAACTTGATCTGGTGATTCGCATCATTTCGTGACGTTATTATTCCTGTACAAATGATTCGTGTGTTTGTTTACGATTTTTTTAAAAGCGTGGTACATTAAGTCCGCAGATAAATGGGTATTGATTAAACTGATATAGCACATACAGAAAGAGGATATGTCTTCACATCAACTCTCGCCGTCACCAGACAAAGACTGGTGGGTACATTGTGTGGTAGCAGTAATACAAGCCCCTACTGTTACTCGGTTGTATAAACACCAACAACACCTGGATCAAGCCGATCTTTGTAAGGGCGTGTTGACAAAGAAATCCACATCTACAGATTGAAAATATCATGGGAAGGGGCAACACTTCACAACTTCGGGTCACAAATCTAGAACAGATCAGATATTTGCATTTAGATGGGACGACGATGACGTTGGGGTCAGCATCGTGGTTGGCTGTGTTGACCATGTCCCGGTGGCCTACGTCATCGCTTACAGTATCAATCACAGGATTGTCTGGTCCGGATTCGATTAATTACATACAGCTGGAATAGTGCGACTTTACTCAACAAACAGACAATGCCGTAATTGCCCGGACCCACACATATTGACCGCCATAACGATGCTTGGTGCTACACATCCCTGTGTTCGGTCGTTGCTCTGATGTGTCTGCATCTATGAACTCCCCGAGGATAATGGTGTGTTTTAGTTTATCGAAATTCAGGTGTGCCCTTCCTATATATCAATGTACTAAAATAACCAATCCCTGTGTCATGTAACATGTAATAAATCAGTGCAAACATGGGCGTAGCTACCTTTTTAAAAAGAGCCCGGGCTTACACATGACTTTTGTTCAAAACTTTGGGCAAGTCCTCAATACTATCTAACAATAAACTTTGCAACCTCTCGGACTTACACGAAAAAATGGCTTGCTACGCGCCTGGCAAAGTATCAAGGCCCACATATTTGTATTTAAACAAAGTGTATGTTAATTAGTAATAATTACTGTGTATATTTCCTTGTCCGGGAAAAAAACCCAAATACAGTGGAATCTGTCTATTACGGACTGGCCTGGGACCGACTCATTTGTCCGGATTAGAAAACTTTTGTCCGTTACCGTAGACACTACCACGATGAGTTACCTCCATTTGTTAAGGACAACCAACAAATTGAATATTTCTTTTTGTTTTATTTATACATGTACTCAATATATTATTTATAATTTCACTGGAAAACGTCTGCTAACGTGCTTCTGCCATAGTAAATTTCCATGTAATACAATTAAATGTTTTCAGTCATGTCTTCCAAATTGAGAACATGGGGGAGGATATCGGAACCAGTACTCTCTACAAATTGCCTAATGTCAACATTTCAAGACTTTCACATGAGACAAATCAGATAGAACTTGTTAACCTTCAACTTCGACCTCTTCATCCGATACTTCATCTGTGTCTGTGTTCTTGATAGATGATAGCAGCTCACTTTCCCACTCTTTGTCACATGGATTTTCTTTTGGGAATGTCAGGGTCAAACGACACAAATTCACTTTCGCTGACATTGGGTGTGATTGCAGGGATCAACTTTGCTAACGGGAGATCGTCTTCTTCATCGTCGTCTTCAGTTTCTTGGGCAGTGGGAAATCCACATTTAGCACATGAAAGCCCTTTAGAACTGTTGAATGTGTCGTCTCAAGCCAGGCAATATTAATCCAACACAGTCACAGTCTTGCACAGTTCACCGACATTTTCACTGTCCTCAAGTCTTGATAACAATGACTTGAGTATATGCTTTCTCTACCGAGCTTTGAAGGCTCGGATGACTTAAATTGTGGATTACATTTTGGACTAACCCTGAAATAGACGTTATCAAAACGTTACTAGGATAGAAGGGCGCGGTGGGCGAGCTGGCTAAGACGCCAGGCTAGTGATCCAGCGAGGTTGAGGTGTCGGGATCGAGCCCACCTGTGACCGGGTGTAAAAACCTTTGTGCAGACTCTTTCAGTGTTGTCACAGCCCCTAGTGTACAGTACACAACCCTGTGCACTTAAAGAACCCACGAATCCGTTGGTATATGACCAGATGGTGGCCACATGAATACGTGCAAACACCTAATTGCGGGTACAGCAACGTGCAGTGAACGTGGACAAAGTACTGTGGCTATGTGTCCCAGTCCACCCAGCTGTGAACTGGTACTCGGTGCGCATGGTGGCTGCAAGATTTGTATACTCCCCAGGGAGTTGAGATTGACATCCATTAATCGAGGGAAAAATACCAGCGTCTTGAGCATGCACTAGTTATTAATAATAATAGAATACAAACCTAAGGCCCAGAACACAGCTGTGATACTGTATCTCAAATCTATCACAACAGACCTTTGTGTCATATCTAACCACCGTCAAACAACCGTATATACTTTATTTGCCCAACAGTTTAGGTCGCTAACCGATTCAATCTTTTATCATATCCAAGGCTTGCATAATACAATGTTATTCCTTATATATGATATATATTAGTGCTACGGAGACACACTCAGTTAATAATCTCTATTCATTTTAATTATGTATGGCCGCGTGGTTCTTTCTGAAGGTGACAGCATATCAGGCACAAATATTGTTCCACTTGATCCAATCTGAATCTGTTGATCAATTCAGTGACAAAAAACAACAATACAGATCTAGCTTGATTGTTTGATTTTCGATATAAAATAGCTAGCATTTTCATATATAGAAACTTAACTGTTGTGGTGCTTAGTCAGTACTGAAGGAATATATCTACATGCTTAAAAAGGTTAAAATATTTACAATATGGGCCCCATAATATAACATTAAGGTAATATAACTTTCACAAATTAAACATAAAGTCAATTACACAATACAGAATGTGTTTGATGAATGGTGGATTTAAACGTTTTGACGATTAAAGTTAAAACATAATTGTAAGTTGTAAGGAGCCAGGTCCGGACTGGGTTATTTACAAGGAGCCAGGTCCGGACTGGATTTTACAAGGAGCTAGGTCCGGACTGGATTATTTACAAGGAGCCAGGTCCAGACTGGATTATTTACAAGGAGCCAGGTCCAGACTGGATATTTACAAGGAGCCAGGTCCGGACTGGATATTTACAAAGAACCAGGTCCAGACTGGATATTTACAAGGAGCCAGGTCCGGACTGGATTATTTACAAGGAGCCAGGTCCGGACTGGATTATTTACAAGGAGCCAGGTCCGGACTGGATTATTTACAAGGAGCCAGGTGCGGACTGGATTATTTACAAGGAGCCAGGTGCGGACTGGATTATTTACAAGGAGCCAGGTCCGGACTGGATTATTTACAAGGAACCAGGTCCGGAATGGATATTTACAAGGAGCCAGGTCCGGAATGGATATTTACAAGGAGCCAGGTCCAGACTGGATATTTACAAGGAGCTCGG